TTTTTTTCTTGCTGATTTGCTTGAGTTCTTTGTAAATTCTGGTTATTAGCCCTTTATTGGATATATAGCATCCGAATATTTTCTCCCATTCTGTAGGTTGTCTATTTGCTCTGCTGATTGTTTCTTTAGCTATGCAGAAGCTTTTCAATTTAATCGAGTCCTATTTATTTATTTTTGTTGTTGCTATGATTGCCATTGGGGTTGTCTTCATACATTCTTTGCCTAGGCCGATATCTAGAAGAGTTTTTCCAACATTTTCTTCTAGAATTCTTATGGTTTCATGCCTTAGGTTTAAGTTTATTATTTATCTTGAATTAATTTTAGGGAGTAGTGAGAGATACTGATCCTGTTTGTGGTTACATGTGGCTATCCAATTTTCCCAGCACTATTTATTGAATAGGGATTCTTTTCCTCAGTGTATGTTTTTGTCTGCTTTGTCAAAGATCAGATGGGTATATGAGGATGATTTGATATCTGGGTTCTCAGTCCTGTTCCATTGGTCTATGTCTTTGTTTTTGTACCAATACAATGCTGTTTTGGTTACTATAGCCTTGTAGTGTAGCTAAAAGTCTGGTAGAGTGACAGTTTCAGATTTGTTCCTTTTCTTAAGGTTGTTTTGACTACTCAGGTTTTTTTTTTGGTTCCAAACGAAGGGTAGAATTATTTTTTCCAGATCTGCAAAAAATGATGTTGGTATTTGATGGAGAATTTATTGGATCTGTAAATCACTTTGGATAGTATAGACATTTTAACAGTGTTGATTCTGCCTATCCATTAGCATGCTATGTATTTCCATTTGTTTGCATCCTCTGTGATTTCCTTCCTCAGTGATTTGTAGTTCTCCTTGTAGAGGTCTTTCACTTCCTTGGTTAAATATTAATATATTCTTAGGTACTTTATTTTCTTTGTTGCTATTGTGAAAGGTATTGAGTCTTTGATTTGATTCTCTGCTTCACTCCTGTTGGTGTATAGATATGCTCCTGATTTGTGCACGTTGATTTTATAACCTGAGACATTGCTCTATTTCTTTATCACTTCAGGGAGTCTCTTGGCAGAGACTTTGGGGTTTTCTAGATATAAGATCATATCATCAGCACAGAGCAATAGTTTGACCTCTTCTGCTCTCATTTGGACACCCTTGATTTCCTTCTCTTGCCTGATTGCTCTGGCAAGGACTTCTAGCCCTATTTTGAATAAAAGTGGTGACAGTGGGCAATCTTGCCTAGTTCCAGTTCTAAGTGGGAATACTTTCGATTCTTCCCTGTTCAGTATGATGTTGGCTGTGGGTTGTGATATATGGCTTTTATAATTTTAGGTATGTTCCATCTATGCCTATTAAGAATTCTTATCACAAAAGGATGCTGAATTTTGTCAAATGCTTTTTCTGCATCTATTGAGATGATCATATGGTATTTATTTTTGCTTCTGTTTATGTGGTGGATCACATTTATGGATTTACATATGTTGAGCCATCTCTGCATGCCTGCAATGAAGCCCACTTGGTTGTGGTGGATTATTTTTTTGATGTGCAGCTGAATTCAGTTTGCTAGAATTTTATTGAGAATTTTTGCATCTATATTCATAAGGGATATTCATCTGTAGTTTTCTTTTTTTGTGTGTCCTTTCCTGGCTTTGGTATCTAGGTGATATTGGTTTCATAGTATCAGGGAAAGATGCTTTCCTTCTCAATGTTATGAAATAGTTTCTATAGTATGGATACAAATTATTTGTAGGTCTGATAAAATTTGGCTATGATATGATCTGGTCTGGGACCTTTTTTTGTTGGAAGATTTTTTATTGTTGCATCAATTTTGTTGCCTAATATTGGTTTGTTCAGGAGTTTTGTTTCTTCTTGATTGAGCCTAGGGAGATTGTGTGTTTCCGAGAATTTGTCCATTTCCTTGACATTTTCAAGTTTATGTGCATAGTGATTTGTATAGTATTCAGAAACGATACTTTGTATTTCTGTGGTATTAGTTATGGTATCTCCTTTTTCATTTCCGATTGAGCTTTCTTGAGTCCTTTGTTTTCTGTTTCTGGTTAATGTATCAAGAGGTCTGTCAATTTTGTTTATCTTTTCAACAAACCAACTTTTTGTTTCATTAATCTTCTGTATAATTCTTTTGTTATTTATTTCATTTAGTTCTGCTCTGACTGTAGTTATTTCTTTTCTTCTGCTGGGATTGGAATTGGTTTGCTTTTCTTTTTCTAATTCCTTGAGATTATTCATTATATTATTGATTTGTGATCTTTCCATCTTTTTGATGTAGGCATTTAAGGCTATGAATTTTCCTCTTAGGACTGCTTTTGCTGAGTCCTGTAGGTTTTGATACCCTGTGTCCCCTTTGTCATTTAGTTTGAGGAATCTTTTGATTTCCATTTTAATTTCCTCCTTGACCCATTAATCATTCAACAGTAGGTTGTTTAACTTCTATGACTTTATGTAGAGTTGTGTGTTTCTGTTGGAATTGATTTCTAATTTTATTCCACTGTGGTCTGAGAAGATACATGGTATAATTTCTATTTTTTTAAATTTATTGGGACATATTTTGTGGCCTAAGATGTGATTAATCTTAGACAGTGTTCTGTGCGCTGATGAGAAAAACGTATATTCAGTGGTTTTTGGTTAGAATGTTCTGTAAGTGTCTGTCAGGCCCATTTGTTCTAGAGTCCCATTTAAATCCAATGTTTCTTTGTTTAGTTTCTGCTTGGAGGTTCTATCCAGTTCTGTCAGTGGAGTGTTAAAGTCCCCAGCTATTATGATCCTGCTGCTTATCACTTTGTTTAGATCTAGTATGGTTTCCTTTATGAATCTGGGTGTACTTGTATTAGGTGCGTAGATATTTAGGATTGTTATGTTTTGTTGAATTGTTCCCTTTACCATTATATAATGACCATTTTTGACTTTCTTTACTATTGCTGATTTGGAGTCTCTGTTATCTGTTACGAGAATGGCTATACCAGTTTTCTTTTGGTTTCCATTTGAATGGAATATTTTTTTACCTCACTGAGGTGAGGCACGTGAGGCATGTAGTATGCTGCCAGCCATGTAGGTCACACTCAGTACCTGCCTGCTTGCACAGTATTTCACTGCTGAATCCTGCCCTAGTGCATTTCCTTCCACATATCCCTCCCCTCAATTGGTGGATAAGAAAACTCTGAATGGTACGATTTAACACACATGGCTGAATTCTTATTAATTATAACTGGAATCACTGAAATAATTAATGAACGTGAAAGGCTGGATGAGAACTTGAGCCTGATGCTCATTACTGCAGATGAAAATGGAAAAGCTTCAATCCATGTTTTAGCTTCCATGCATGCAATTAATTGTTTCATTAACCTTCACCATATCAGTAAGCCAATGCTCCAAAGGATCATCAAGGCAAATACCCTTCAGCATGTAATCGCCATTTAGGAATGTAAATCCAAGGAAGGTGGTTCAAGTTTAGTAGATGAGCATTTAGTACATGGCATTTCTCACTTTAGCTTTCTCAGGGGGATTTAGGCAACTCCTTTGTCTTCAGAGTCCAGGGTCTGGCCCCAAGGGTAGGGTAAGGCTGGCTCCTTGCCCCAGTACTCCCCTCAAAGGTCTGAATCTCCAACTCTGCCCCTGGTTACCCACTGCCTCCCTGACTGCGTTTGCTCTCGGCAGGAGGCTTTTCTTTATTAATCCCAAACATACTCCCTGCATTTTCCAAAGGGGTCTCTTGTGTCCTAAGTGTTTCAAAATTTGGGAAAGATGGTTGTGTGTGTATGTCGGATGATCTTAAAATTTTTCATTGCAGCCTGATCAGTGTTTGCATGAGAAGGAAAACTGGTGTTTAGTGCCCAGGTTTGAATCGCAGCTCTGCTGCATATTGGCTGTGTGATTTATAGTGCATGACTTAGTCTCTCTATGTGCTCTAGCTTAATCTGCATAATGGGGATGATAATGCTGTATACTTTACAGGACTGTTGCAAGGAGCAACCTGAAAAAGATAATCCATGTAAGTTGCTTCACACAATATATGACAAGTATTGGCCATTATTATGACGACTTGAGGTGTATAGGTAGGCAGAGAGCATATATGCGGATAATTTGTCTATTCTGGGGTTGGTCTTCAAGTACCACATCTAACAAAGCTGGCAAATGGTCTCATTCGATTCAGTCCCACAGCTTCCTCCCATGTGAGTGCCCAGGAGGAAATGCAGGCAACAGGGAAAAATCTTGGAGCCTGGGGACCAGGGCAGAGACCTGATCACTCAGGTACAGGCTCCTGGACACTGAGCTCTGCGCCTGCAGGTAACTGTGCCACTTTCCTTAGCCAGGCAGCACTGACAGTGCCCCTGCTGGCACTTTGGTTTCCAGCCTGTGTTTTGGTTTACTTACTTGGCAGTTACTGACACTGTGAGGGGCTCTTAGCACATTGATGTGACATTTATGGAATCCCAGAAGGAATGGATTGCTCTGCTTGTTGGTTTTTAAACAAGTCTCTCTGTTGGATTCAGTGGCTTGCCTAAGGACAAAGGCTGTCTTTCAGGAAAAAGACTCAGGTATTTTATTAGCTAGGGTATTTTATTAGCAAGGTATTAGGGTATTTTATTAGGGTATTATATCCACTAATTCAACAAGTATATTTGAGCACCTACTGTGTGTCAAGGGCTGGGAATGCAGACCCAAATAAAACAAAGTCCTTGCCCTTGAGGGGTCAGGGTCTAGCCAGAGAGAATACAAGTAACCAGATGAAGACCACAAGGTCATGTAAGTACCTTGGGACAAGTTTGGGGCATGCTGCCTGAATTTCTAATATCAGAGGGCTTCCAAGAGGAGGTAGAGTGTAAACTGAGACCTGAGAATGAGTAGACATGAGCAGGGGTGAGGCAGGAGTGAGGTGAGGAGGTTGCAGGGAATGGACATTCTAGGAAGAGGGTTGAGTACTTCATGTATTTAGCTGATTGAGTTCTCATGACAAACTTAACAAGTATATGCTGTTATTGTTTTTGTTTTTGTTTTACAGCCAGAGGAGCTGAGGCCCGGAGACTTCAGTGGCAGCTGGGATCTGAACTCAGATGTGGCTGACTCCAAAGTTCATGATCCTAACACTGGTACGTGGCCTTTGATAAAAATACCAACTGCCTTGCTACATGCTGTAAAACCCTGGAGGGCAGGATGTGGGTGGGGTGTTCAAGGTCCTTGCTGGTGAAAAGGAAGAGAAAGATGAGGGCATGTTGTTCAGAGGCCCAGGTGCTGAAACTTGAAGTGAAGCAACGTCCTGGGTTTCCATAACCAGTGGAAGGCCAGGGAGTTGAGACTGGCTGAGCTCAGAGAGCTGAGCTCCACACGCTAAGTTCTTAGCATGTGTGTTGATCAGAATGAAGTCATCCCTATTGGGATGGGCCATTCCTATTGCTCTCAGGGACCTAAGCCACTTATCAAAGTGTCAGTCTGTCCACTCTCTCACATCCTTTTTGGTCTCAGGACTCTCACCAGGAGGTTGGTCACTTCTCCCAGCCCTACCCAGTGCCACTATCTTCATGGTGAAAAGGTATGGGGGTGAGTGGGTAAGCAGAGAGTTTGCAAAGTTCCCCCCTCCAGTGCCTGGGGAAACCTAACTCATTCTTCAAGGTACACAGAGAAACAGAGAGTGGGGGGATGAGGCAGCATTGCTTGTGCCAGCTAGATTCCAAAGGGGGCAGCATGGTGGTGACTGCTGTCTTGGTGTAATAGTTTTTAGCAAGCACAGTTTTGGGGTCTGTTTGCCTTGTTGGAGCCAAAGCAAACAAGATAGCTGCACAGTGGTGCTGAACTAAAAACTCCCTCTTCGTGGACTCTTCCAAAGCTTTCATCCACAAAGCACACCTCAGCCACTTCAGCCATGGATGGGCTCTTAGAAGATAACACATACACATGCGTTTATTCATTTAATCAAGAGAAATGAACAGAGCATCTGCAGAGTGCTGAGCACTGTGCTGGGGCCTGGAGGCACAATGAAGAGCGAGGCAGGCATGGTCATGGCCCCAGGGCACTGACAGCCCAGTGGAAACAGAGACAGTGAAGGTCCTGCAGTGGGATGAGTAGCCACCCCTTTTGTGCAAATTAGACCTGAGTTTCTTTACATCTAGCCTCATAGTAATTACTGGGAAAACATTTCCTTCCAAATAAACCCAATTGGTAAGGTGCAGAAACTGGTATGGGTCTGTCAGCTTAAAAGCTTGAGTGGTTTCCAGGAATCCATCCTTGCAAAGACGTTCCGCGCAGTCCAGTATATGCTTAATGAGCCCCGCATGTGCCAGAGCTGTGGCCTGCACCGCAGAGTGAGGAGGGAGCTAGGGTTACTTCTCGCCTGTCAGGGAGATCACGCATGCGCAAATCATTCCACTACTACATGGTGAGAGCTAGTCAGTCACGCAGCAGATGTTCCCTAGGTACCCACGCTGTGCCAGGCGCTGCTCTGAGTCTGTGTGTTGCAGCCATAAGCCCAACAGACAGCCCCTGCCCTCATGGAGCTTATGTTTTACTAGGGGGGTAGAGACTGCAGAGAGGGGGGTGCTATTTTATATAGCTGGTGAGGCTGGAGCTCCTAGAGGAGGTGATTCGGAATAGAGAGTTGAAGAAGGTGAGGGAGAAAGTTATGCTGATTTATGGGGAAAGAGTGTTCCAGACAGAGTGTCCCCAGTGTGTGTGTGTGTGGGGGCGCGGCAAGAGGGCAGCCTCAGGAGAGGGCGAGTGTGTGGGGATTTTGAGGAATAGCTGAGAGGCCAGCTGCCAGGCACAGTTGGTGAGAGGAAAGCAGGGGAGATGAGGCCAGGGAGCAGCAGGGGACAGAGGGTCACAACCTGACGGGCTGTGGTCAGGACTGCAGCTTCTCCTCTGGAGAGAAGGGGAGGCACTAGAGGGTTTCAGGGGGCAGAGTTAGCATGATCTGATTCCTGCTCTGAGAGGGCACCTCTGGCTTCTGGGATAGAATAACTCGCAACGGGCGAGAGCAAAAGCAGAAGACCAATTAAGAGGCTGCTGCAGTTGTGCAGAGGAGAGGCAAAGGTGGCCAGGACTGGAGAAGTAAATGGGTGAGGAGGGGAGCAGCTTGACATTCTGGTGTCTTTGAAAGACAGAGCCAAGAGGATTGATGGGTGGGCATGAAGTAAGAAAAAAGGAAAAGAAACAAGGATGAATGTGCAGTTTTAGCCTTAGCCACCAGAAAGGTAGAGTTAGCATTTATAAAAAAAGCATGAGGATAGGTTAGGTAATTGTTTAGCAAATATTTCTTCCTTCCCTCTCCGTCTCTATGAGAAGAATACACCTCCTTCCCCATGACATTGGGTTTGGTCACAGGACTTGCCTTAGCCAGTTAAGTGTGGGTGGAAATGACAGTGTGAAACTCATGTCTTAAGAGGCATCGTGCACTTTCCCTTCGCCTTTGGGAAGCTTCTGACAGCTCCAAGAGAAGAGTGTGCCCTAAGGGGCCACGACCTACCTGCCATAGGCCCCAGAATTTGATGTGCAGAGCAGCCTCCTCCACTGACCGTTAGACTGGTGAATGTGAAAATAGCTGTTAATTGTGTAGACTGTTGGGTTTGGGGGTGGATGGTTACACAGTCTCACTGTGGCAGTAACTGACTGGTGAAGGGACGGAGGCAGGTTCAGTGCTTCAGGACATCAACATCAGAAACAGGCTCTCAGCCCTGTCTGGGTAGTCAGGGATGTTTCCTGAGAGGAAACAGTTATTGGTGAGCCTTGAAAGTTAAATCAAAGTTATCCAGTTCAAGAGGTGGAACAAGGACATTCCAGGCTGAGGACACAGCATTAGCAAACGCCTAGAGAAACATGATATATGGATATACAGGGAACTATGCAAGTAGAAGCAGGGGATGGCAGAAGGTGAATTTGGAGAAAGAAACAGGAGCTGGGTCATGAAGGGGTTTGCATTCCCAGTAAGGATCTTGGACTTTAGCCCGTAGGCAGTGGGGAGCCACACCAGCCTTTTCAGTGGGAGAACGTCAGGGTCTGATTTACGCCTAGGCTCTATTCTTCTGGCCCCACGTGGAGGACAGCCCCAGTGTTCCAGAGTGTTGTGGTCCAACTTAGGAGAATCAGGTAGGCTCTGCCATAATCATCTGGTCAAGTGCAAAGGTATAGGGATTCAGGGTGGAAAAGGATTGGGGAAACATTCAGGTTTTAATACTAGCAGGAATTAAGGTACAGAGAGCAAGTGAGAGCTCAATATATGGCATGCTGGGGACATCAAACACCAGAATGAATTTCCCTAACATGTGAATGTCTAGTGGAATTATAGATGATCTTTCTTTTCTTCTTATACACAAATTATTTCCTACAGTAATCACACATTACCAATATAATCAGAAAAAAGTTTGGGGCGTTATATAGTATTTAAGTCTATTTTCCTGTAGACCAAATTTACTGAACCCTAAAATTTCATTGCTAGAGAGGGACACCCACCCTTGATGCTCTCTTGGCCAGGGCTACTGTCTTCTCTACTTGATATCTGACAACTTTCGTTTTTTAAAAAATAACAAATTGAAGGAAGATCCAAAAAGAGGTTCACAGCAAATGTGACCCACTCATCTTATTTGTATTAACTGTATATCGTAGAAACATTTCAGAGAAACACTAATTTGGAATTGGCATCACCAGATAACGTATCCTTCTGGAAGATTATGTCATGACTCACCTGATTATAGATTCAGAATAAGAAATGTGCATGAGATTCATTTTGGAGTAATTAAAGAGCATCGTATGTATAGAAGTAAATTTTTAAAATTGTTTTTGATTGCTGAAAATATTACTGACTAAATGAGGATAATAGCTAGATGGCAAAGTTACGATTATAAAAAAAATGTAGAACCCTTCTAATTATAAAACAAAAACCAAGTTAGACAAATCAGTACCTGGGATTTCTCTGCTCAAGGAGCACACCCTGTGCTTCACTTCGGTGCCTCTGTCAGTACATTCCCAGCCTGGGCTGATGCTCCTCCTGGGCTGACGCTCCTCTTTGCCACCTCTAAGAACCCTGTTCTGTCTCAAGACCAGCTCAAAGGCGATCTCAGGATGGCTTTCCTATATCCCTGGTGAGATTCACCATTTCATCCCACTGTGTTTTATTCTTAGGGTCCAATAGCCCCATCAACCTGATCTCTGTATTTTTGACACTCTAATACTTAACCAATCAACTTCACTCATTTGCATGTTCCAGCCCAGGGTATACCACATTGCAGGATTTAATAAATGTTGCATAAAATGATTTGATATATATATTTTGATTCAAGTATCTTATTTATAAGAAAGCTGAGGAGCAATAAGTGCTGGCATGTGGCTGCCAGGGAATTGATCCAGAAGCCATGAAGAGGTATAGTTGGCTCCAAGAGATGCTCTTGAAGCCAAAGCTTACTGTTACAGGCCCATTATCTTGTGCATAGGTGACTGTAGTGACTTTCTAAAAGTCCCGGGAGATACAGGTTAAAGATGAGTAAGTGATTACATTTAAGTAAGTTTAAATATGATCAGAAAAATCAGATTTAAGTGTTTTGCTTTAAACTGACTTATCCAGTGAATGACTGGATAACATGGAAAGTAGGACTGCTACCTGTTTTAAAAATGAAGAGGCATGATTTCTTCTGCTACCTGTTTTAAAAATGAAGAGGCTTTGACCTGATTTTGTTGATCTCTACAGCTTCAACTTTCACCTCCCTGCTGATGATTCCTAGACTCTTATCTCCAACCTCAACGTGTCTTCTAAGGAGCTGATTTGAATATTCGACTGCCAAGTGGTCACCTACACTGGTAAGTCCTGCAGACACTTCAAAATCTGCATTCCCCAAACTGAGCATGTTGGTCTTCCAACTGACTCCCAAACTAATCTGCTCTCTGCTTTAGGAAAGAGTGCCTATCTATTGAGCCTACAGAGCTACAAACCCTGGGTTCATCTTTGTCCCTCTGTTGCTTAGTTATCAAGGGCTTTAGAGTCCGACCCAAAGTATCTCTTATGTCTGACCCCCATGCCCCATAACCATCGTCATGGTCTTAATTTAAGTCCTCGTCATTTAGTGTCTAGACTTTTGCACCAGCCTACTGCGTGGTGTGTTTGCCAACAGCAGTCCTGTCTTCTACCCACATGTCAAACCATCATTCCCTTTGTTAAAAAGCTACAAGATAAAACTCAAGCATCTTTATTATCAGTCCTCAACATATCTCACTAATTTAACATCCTTGCCATAAACCAACTCCCCTCCAGCCATACCTGTCCACCAAAGACACTGAGCCTGTCCATGCCTCTGCATGTGCTCATTCCTCCACCTTTTTTTCTCTTCTCCACTTGCCAAATTCCTACTCATCCTTGAAAACCGCTTCAAAATATCATCTGTTCTGCGAAGTCTTCTCTCACATTGAAAGACAGTTTGCTGCTCTCTTCTCTGAATTCTCGTGACACTTTGCTCAGAGTCTATTGCATCGTAAAGATCTCTTTACACTCCAGCCCCTCCCTTCCTCTGAGGACAGTGCCTTAAGCTCACTCCCACTTGTAGTCCTAGTACCTCCTACAGTGTCTGGCACCCAGAAGGAAGACTACCCTTTGCTGAATATTGTAACCACTCTCAGGCCGTTTCCTCAAGAAGAAGAATCTTTTCTTGAAAATCAACTTAAATGTTTATAAAAATGTTCTGTAGAAATGAGAAGCAGAAAAGGTTAGATAAGTGAGGAGTTATTAAGGGATTCTTTAGTCCAAGCACTGGCCTTTCTGAATGAGGAAGAAGAGCAGCTGAACCGTGGAATGACAAAGCCAAGGTCGCATGGGAGTTCAGGGTAGAGCCTGAGTCTCCTGACTCAATCCCTTTTCCTTCTACCTCTCTGCTTATGGAAGCCCACCTGGCAAGGCCCCATCCTAGCATTGCCCTGAAGGATCTTCCTTTGTGATGTTTTGTCATGAGTGACATAGGCCATGTCCTGGGGAGACACACAAAGGCTTCATGCCACAAGGCTTCAAGCTATTTGGTTCCCTCAAGTAATCTCCAGAATTTGACTACCGTGACAGCACTCCTCAAATATTTGCTTTGGGTGAAGAACAGACCAAACACTATGTTTAAAATCTGATTTCTAAATTTTCAGTCTTAGAGGAGATACCATTTAGAGGAATAAACTCTTGCTTCTGATTTTTTTCAGCCTAATTAAAATATTTATTCTTCTTCCCAAACATTTCTTGGTGCTCATTTCCATGTCTGTGTTAAAATACCCATTTAAAGCACATAAGACATCAAGTTTCTGATGTGTTGTGGGAAAGTACTGGGTGAATTCTTTAGAGTATGAACCTTAAACAAAATTAATAATCACCACAAAAGAGAAGTTGTCATCATAAAGACTCTTGGTCCAGCATTCCTAAACAAGATAGAAAAAGGCCCAAACTCCTGTTTTCCAAGTATACGTAGGAGAAGCTGGGGAGAGCTGTTAAACCCTACAGGCAGAGGCCTAGTCCTTGTCATGCAGAAGGCTGGCAGCAGCCTGCCACTGCTCCCAAGCCCAAGAATGCAAACATGAACTCTGACCTCCCGGGTCCAGGCAACTGCTTTATGAGTAAGTGTATTATAGTAAGGGATGGAGTGGTGGGCGGTGCCAGTGGTGGAAGGAGACACACACACACACACACACACACACACACACACACACGGAAAGAGAGTTATTAAGAGAGAGAGAGCAGCTGTGCTCAGCATTTCAGTATGGCCCTTCTGAATTTTCAAAGCATTTGTCAATCAGTAATTAACAATCTTGCTCTGGAGCCCAGAAAAACAGGTCATTATTATTAATTTCACACTGTAGTTACTGTAGGTATTGGAGACAGAGAGATCACAGTAATATGAAAGATGATTATGCTATCAAGCATTTGGGTAGCTCTTTCCTATTTGAGAATTATAATACTTAGAAAATTTTAGCCTTAATAATTTTTACATCACTATAATTTTAGAAATAGGTATACAATACCACCTATTTCTTCTTAGTTTTCCTTGCACCATACTGCCAGTATCATGACTAGAACTTGTACCCCAACTCTTCCGACCTTTTGGCCACATAGAGATTGGGAAAAGAGTGCAGAGGGTACCATATCACCTGATCCATTTAACTGAGAGCTGATGGAAAAGTATCTGACCTCCTACTGCTTAGGAGGTACATGTTTTGAAAGGAAGCCCATGCCAGGATAGTCAGAGTATTTGTCCCTACACTGTGTTTGAGTGTGTGACATCTACAGTATAATCACATAGTTCATAAATGGAAAAGAGAGAGAGACACACTTAGTTCATCAATGCCAAGTATAATTTCTGGCTCGTTACATCTGAGTAATAGAGATTGTTTTTACTTTTCAAAATATAATCCATGGGCTGGTGGAAGAAAACAAGAATCATGTCTTGTTACTATGGTTGAACCATGACTTGTTTTAAGCAGCCTAAAAACCAAACAGTAAAATAATCCCAAACCTGAAAAAAAATCCTTAAAAATAAATTATAAATGAGCTGAATGTATCTTTTGACTTCCTGTTTAAAATTTGTTGCTGAAAAATACATATCTGGGGTTTGATGGGCAAATAGCTAATCACTTATCCACCGGCACCCACCTTCATTCTGCTTAATTACATTATGTTCCTTTCACTGATATTTTCAGAAACTCGAGTCTTTGAGTACACAAATGGAATACATTCTTAGTAACTAACTGAAAGGAGAAGAGGAATGCTTCTACTAAGAAGGTAAGAGGCTATCCTACTTACACCAAAATAAATTCTGGATGAATTAAAGAGTTGAATACACAAAAATGGAACCATAGAAGATTGAGAAGAAAACAATTTAAAAAAAATAGCCTTTAAGGAATTGAAATCAGTATGTCAAAGAGTTTTCTGCACTCTTCATGTCCATTGCAGCGTTATTCACAGTAGCCAAGACATGGAAACATGGAAACCACTCAAGACCCCATCAATGGATGAATGGAATAAAAAATGTGGTATACGTACCAATGGAATGTTATCCATCCTTAAAAAAAGTAGGAGATTCTATCACTTGTAACAACATGGATGGATCTAGAAGAATCATGTTAAGTGAAATAAGCCAGGCACAGACAGACAGATACCACATGACCTCACTCATAATGTAGCATCTAAAAAAGTTGAACTTACAGAAGTAGAGAGTGAAACAGTGGTGTCTGGTGGGGGGAGGTTAGGGGGAAATAGAAGATATTGGTCAAAGGGTACAAAGTTTCAGTTAGACAGGAAGAATAGGTTCTGGTGATCTATTGTGCAGCATGGTGACTATAGCTAATAATAATATATATTTCAAAATAGCCAAAAAAATGAATTTTAAATGTTCTTACTGCAAAGAAATGATAAGTGTTTGAGGTGATGGATATATGAATTAACTTGATTTGATCATTCCACAATGTATACATGTATCAAAATATCACATTGTAGCCCAACAATATATACAATTATTATTAAATATATAATTATCAACTAAATATGAATTTTAAAAAAGCTTCAAGTAGTAAGATTTTTCTAAGCATGACATGAAACATAGAAACCAAACTGAAAAGACTAACAAATAAGAAAACATACAATTTAAATAAAGTTTCTGTTCAGAAAAGAATACCATAAAGGAAACAAAAAGACAAGTTGAAAAAATATATGCAACATACATAATAGATAAAGATCTGATTTATTTTGCAAAAAAATAATTCTTATACACCAAAAGTAAAAAGAGAAGTGAGCCAAAAAAAATTGGCAAAAGATACCAGTAGACAATTCACCGAAAAAAATATAAACCAGCAATAGATAGTTATTTAACATTACTCATAAAAGAAATTCAAATTAAAATAGCATTGAGATACCATTTCTTACCCATGAAATCGGCAATTTAAAAAGTCTGATAATAATCACTGTGGGCAAGGGAGTGAGGAAAGAGACTCTCCCACTTTCTGTTGGTGAAACTGATAATTTGGTGCTGCCCATTGGGAGGGCATTGTCAGTCTCTGACACAGTGTAAGAGTGTTTAAGCCCATGCTCTTTGATCCAGCAGTTTCATTTTGAGGAGTTGCACCTACAGATATGTTCACTGAGTGCACAAAGTTGTATGTACAAGGGTGTACAATGCAGAACTGTTTATTAAAACAAAAACTGGACTTAACCTAACAGTCATCAGTAGGGAATGATACATAAGTTGCAGTGTGTCCATGCTGTGGAACACTCTAAGGGTGTTTGAGAGAAAGAGGTAGACTTGGAAATGTTTATATGGAAAGACATTTCTGCCAGTTTTTATTATTGAGTGAAATGAATGAGAACTGAATGTGGGGTATATTTTAATACATTTAAGACAAAAAGTAAATAAGTAAATGCATACATGCATATACTTATACATATGTACATATGCCTATGTATAATTAAAATTTATGCTTAGATATAAAATAAATTATTGATAAGGTCAAGTATGGGAATTGAGATGGGGGCAAAAAGGTTAAGGAAGGGAGCTTACTTCTCACTGTAGATTTTTGGGTCCTATTTGAATAATTTTTATACTATATATTCCTTAGATTAACAATTTGAAAAGGAGATGAGTGATTTCTTCATTTGCCCCTTGTTCCTGCAGTTCCTCACTATTCGGGTAACCCTCCAGGAGAAACCTAACTTTTGACTACTCCCAGCTCAGCTCCTGCATCTGATAAGGAACTCTCCAACCAGGCACAGAGCCAGCAGCAATGCGGGACCTCAGATTATTATCATGGTTTAGTTCTTGCCCACGCTGTGGCTTAATTCACTTGAAACAAAGTAAGCATATCTGGGTCATGTTGCTGATGTCATTTTAAGAAAAAACATCTCTGATCTTAGCCCTGTTACCACTGATTTTTAATTCCAGCTCCTTCTTGATTTTCAAGAAATACAGAAAACAGTCCTTACCTTTTTTTTTTTTTTTTTTTTGAGACAAGGTCTCACTCTGTTGCCTGGGCTAGAGTGCCGTGGCGTCAGCCTAGCTCACAGCAACCTCCAACTCCTGGGCTCAAGCTATCCTCCTGCCTCGGCCTCCTGAGTAGTTGGGACTACAGGCATGTGCCACCATGCCCGGCTAACTTTTTCTATGTATTTTTAGTTGGTCAATTAATTTCTTTCTATTTTTAGTAGAGACGGGGTCTGGCTCTTTCTCAGGCTGGTTTCGAACTCCTGGCCTTGAGTGATCCTCCTGCCTCAGCCTCCCAGAGTGCTAGGATTATGGGCGTGAGCCATCATTTTTTCCTAATAGCCTTTCAGGTAATTTATTCACAACCTCCTGGCTTTCCCTGCCACCTACTTCATCACTTCCTCTTTTACCTCTAATTCGTGATTTTCACGGGTCTTCTAAGTGTCTTTTAAATATAACCTCAACAAAGAATGGTAAAAATTCCATCAGGGCACCTGGCCATGAAGCTGCCTCCGTCCCGCAAGGTCCACCCACATTCTGGGCTGGGCTAGTGAGTAGACATGAGCTCACACGCCTCCCTCTGTTCCCAAGCCATCCTACAGGGCCATCTGCAGAGCATCGAGGATCCCAGGGATCTGTCTTCTTATTCTGTTTAGGGCTGCCAACTCCTCGGTGTGTAAGACAAGGAGGCTCTCGGAAAATGAGAATGTCCTTCTTTCTTCTAAATGAATTGTCACTAGCCTGCGGGAGCAGTGGGTTCTGTTTTGGAGAGGATGGCTAAAGGTGACCTGTGGAAACCAAGTCTGGGTCCAGACATCGTCTGTCTCTCCCTGGCCAGGGTTCAGAACATCCACCCCCAACCCTCCAGACTTGACCCTGCCTTAGTCCTGGAGGCCCACCCTCACCCTGTATTGGGCCACGGAAGTTGCTCTATTGTGGGAACTCACTGGATTGTCAGAGATTTAGTTTCATTGATGGTGATGCCAAATTTTCAATGAACTGATGTTTATAAAGTGTTCACATAACATGGGGGAAATGCCAAAGTTACAGTATTCAGTGAGACAAGCAGGAATTTGAATTGCTTATATGATCTTATAACAATTGTGAAAGACAAATCTATGCAAAGATAAAAACAACTAGATCTCTTTACTGGGAAATAGGTCATAGAGCAAAGTCCGAGGAATGAATGGAGAAATAGTCAGATAGAACACTGGAAAGGAATTGAAAGCCCAGAACCAGAACCATGTGTATTTGGGGATTGGCATGTGATAGAGGTGGCATTGCAGATTAGCGGGGGAAAGTTAGATTAGTTGGCAGGTGATGCTGGGAAACTAACTCACCTTACAGAGGAAAGTAAGATCTGATACAAACTCACTCTGCATACAAAAGTAAACTCTAACTGTACTAATGACTTAAAAGTAAATGGTAAATCTATGAAGGTAATAGAAGAAAAAACTAGAGTTTCACATGGAAGAATATATTCATGAGCTTGGGTGGAGAAGGATTTCTTAACAAGACTAAACATGCACAAACCATTTCACAAATAAGGGTTTCTGTTTAACACACAGTGATAGAAAAACTTAACAGATGTTGGGACTCTGAAAACACAACCCCAAAGTACTTTGAACCGAAAGATACTGGGGTGGGGGGTGCTCAGAAGTAAGGTGGTCACTCTGACCTCCCTGCTTGTTTCTGTGTGAGAGCTAGCCATGAAGAAATCCTCTGGCCTATCTTGCCTGAAAGTCACTCTTAAGACTCTCATTCTGCAGGAGTCCTGCCCTATACACAGGGCCAAGGAAGAATCTGGACGGACAGGCTAGGTCCCCTTTCCCCTCAGTTTATTGCCATCAGATCATATCCTTTTTGTGTAACCACATTTCTATATAGCTGTCCATTCTTCATCAAACCTAAGTGTAAAATAGACAGTTTTCCCCAGGTCTTCATTTCTGAGGTTTCTAGGTCATGTAAAACTCTGTTAAATAAATCTGTCATGCTTTTCTCCAGTTACCTGTCTTTATGGCAGTGTCACAGTGCCCCTTGTGTTGGGGGAGGAAAGGCATCACTCTCTTTTGCCCCTGTACAGATGAGTTACACACTGGGAGGAGATATTTGCAATGTCTGGAATGGACAAAGACCTAGTATTTAGAATATAGAAAGTACTCTTGCAAAAAAGAAAAAAAAAAAACTACTTTTAAATGCCCCAAGACAGAAATCCTATTAAAATGTAGGTGAAGGAAGAATCAGAGGAGGCAATTCACAGAAAGGAGAAACCCTCATGGTTAAACAGTACATGAAGCCCCCAGCCTCACTAGCAATTAGAGAAATGCAGATGAAAATGACTTTATATTTCTCATACTGGCAAATATTATAAAGCAGGATAAGACCTAGAGCTGGCAGCAGGTGGCAAAGCAAAGCACTCGAGGGAGCCTAGACTAGGGTGGGGGAGCTCCCTCTGGGGAGCAGTCTGATGGATATTCCTTCCTGTGTCTGGTATACAAGAATGCTCAAACAGGATTGTGGGGGTTCAGGGATATTCTTTGTAGCCTCTTTTTTGGTAACAAGAAGTTAGAGGCAGTCTAGATGCTCATCACCGTGGGACTGAGGAAGTGAAAGACTGCAGGTGAAGGGAACGGAACCCTAGGCAGCATACAGAAGCAATGAACTAAACACACATGTACAACAATAACAATATATTTTTCCATAGTTCCCATTAGAATACAAGCTCCATGAGCGCACAGATTACAGAGTTTGGATGGTGTTTAAGTATTCCCAGCCTCTAGAACTTTGAGAACATAGTAGATGCAAAAGGTATATTTGAATAAATGATGCATCTATACCTACATATCTAAATGCATTAATTAAATACATTGAAGTTGGTGCTTTCTTTGAGTGAAGGGGAGAAGAAAGGAAATAGGGATAAAGTATGAAGAACAACAAAAATATGTTAATAATGTTCCATCAACTGAGTCATAGTATTAATTTAAATTTTTGTAGCCGGGGGCAGGGAGGAGGAAACACACCAAAATGTGAATTATTCTTAAATGGTGGGATTAATGCTGATATTTTTGTTTGCTCTGCTTTTCTGTATTTTCTAAAAATTCTATCATGAAAAGTGTTTTTATTATCCTCAAATTCAACACTTGAAAATGCTCTTCTTGTTCTTGAGAGAGGCAGTGCCCTCAATACCAAGTTTCCTTCCACTGCTCTGTGTATTGCCTTCCCACTTCTTATCTGCTCTGCTTCCCCCAAACACGACACGCATGCACACACTCACACACACAGGCACACACATGCACACACACTTTGATGGCTGAACCACATCTCTGGCTGAGTTTGTGCCTGGGTCAATAGAAAGCATCAGCAACCTCTTCTGTCTCCTCCAGACTAATCCTCCTACTAGGACTGTCTTTGGCTTCCCGGAATAACTGACCTCTGGCCTTCTGCCTTACCCTACTCTGAGCATTTGCCTGGATTCCTGGCCTCAGCCTTCCCCAATTCCTCTCAGCTTGGTGCTTCCCCACTACACTAGTTGAATAATGTCCCCTGCCCAGTGCATGTCTTTCCTGGAACTTCAGAATGTGATCTTATTTGGAAGTAGGGTAGTTGCAGGTATAATTAGTTAAGATAGAGTCCTACTGGAATAGGATGAGCCCTTAATCCAAATGACTGTCATCCTTACAAGAAGAACATCAGCACAGAAATACACAGGAGATTACCACAGGATAACAGAGGCAAAGATTAAGAGTGATGCATCAACAAGCCAAGGTGTGGTGAAAACCATCAGAAACCATGAAGAGGCAAGGAAGGATCCTTACCTAGAGCCTTTAAAGAGAACATGGTCCTACTAACACCTTGATTTTGGATTGCTAGCCCTTAGTACTGTGAGCAAATAAAGTTCTATGGTTTTAAATCACAAAGGTTGTAGTTTTTTGTTATGGCAGCACTTGGAAACTAATACATCCACCCAGGGGAGGGGAACCTATGGCCTTCTGATTTCAAGATTGTTCTTTTTTTTGAGACAGAGTCTCACTCTGTTGCCCTGGCTAGAGTGCCGTGGTGTCAGCCTAGCTCACAGCAACCTCAAACTCCTGGGCTTAAGCAGTCCTCTTGCCTCAGCCTCCCAGGTAGCTGGGACTACAGGCATGTGCCACCATGCCTGGCTAATTTATTTACACACACACACACACACACACACACACACACACACACACACACACACACACACAATTTTTTTTAGTCATCCAGCTAATTTCTTTCTTTTTGTTTTAATAGAGATGGGGTCTCATTCTTGCTCAGGCTGGTCTCAAACTCCTGAGCTCAAATGATCCGCCCGCCTCGGCCTCCCAGAGTGCCAGGATTACAGGCATGAGCCACCATGCCTGGCAAGATTGTTCTTCTTTAAGCCCCAAAGGAGGCAATAAAAGCTTCATCTTTCTCTGCTGCACTCCTTTGAATAAAATGATTTGTTCTGTAAAATTTGGATTCAGAAAAAAGGCTGCACTTAAGGACCTAGATGGCCACATGTGGCTTTAAGTCTACAGGTTCCCCTCCCCTGCAAGGCCTTGCCTGTGTCCAGTCTTTTCTTGGCCTGGTGTTCTCAATATCTAAAGGCCCAAGGAAGGAAGAAGGAGGAAGGAAAAGGAGAGGTCCACTCCATGTCTTTGTTTATGCTAAAACAAGCTCCAGTTAAACAAAAATCATAGATAATATTTAACCATTTTCCTCTACTTAAACAAACAATTTATTGGGTCCATGCATTCAACAGAGAGAAAAATGT